CGATGAACCGCGATAAACGAGGGTTCACTGTATTGAGACTCCTTTAATCCTATTAACTTGCTAAGAAAAATAATATAGGGCTTAAGTATCTTGCCTCAGATTACATAACCAGTAACTGGCATAATTAATACTGAATTCAGGAAACCAGGTTTAAGAGCCAATGACTTTAATCAGAATGATATGCTGGTGGAGCTCTGGTGGTATAATGCATTATAAAGTGGGCTACTAGCCATAAGGTCAGTGGTTCAAACCCACCAGTTGCTCCTCAGGAGAAAGCTACGTACGACTTTCTGCTTCCAAAAAGATTTACAACCTCAGAAAACCACAAGAGCAATTCTACCTTGTCCTACAGGGTCACTATGAGTAGAAATTGACTCAGTGACAGTGAGTTTCAGAATATGGCTGGCATAATTAATTTCATTACAGATAGACATATTTTTAACTAAGACAAATGATTAAGATCGTCAATAAGGAACATGAAACAGCCAGAGAGTAGATCTAAGAAGATTCCACAAATGGGAAAAAAAACTTAACTATGAAGACATTTCACAATTTCTCCTATTCGTTCAAGGCCTATTCTTGAAACATGGCATCAATTGGCTCACTGGGCAAAAGTGAACCACTGAAAGCCACTAGTTGAAAGGCAACTGGAAAATAATATGCGACAGCTACTATTTCTATAACGTGTGTATGGGGGGGTTGAATAGACTTTATTTAATCCCAACATTATGAACTAGATAATATTAGCACTTTACAGACAACTGAGTTCTTGCCTGACTGAAAGTCAACCCTTCTTCCATCATACCAGGATGTCGCTCAATTAAAATGTTCTGGGACCACTCTTGTTGGGATTCGGAGCTATTTATATAGAAGGGATGCTGATTGAAAATCAATGAGTGCAAGGGCTTACTCTGTAACATGCAAAGTACATCTTGCAACTCAAATCATCAAACCACAGACTCTCCAGGACCATGTTTCTGTCCAGAAAGTAGCATTGCAGTTCTCTAGACCTACTGTCATTAAATCTCTATCTAGCTAATGTGCTAATCGATCAACAGTCACAGAACACCCATTCTATACCAACCACCAATACAAAACCTACAGCACTCAAACTTCTGCCCTTGAGAACAATCATCATTATAAAAGTAACCAACAACTACCCTTGTGGGAAACCTTGCCACCCCACCAGAGGCAAGTCTTTCACACTAAGAATGCCCTTTAAGGACTGAAGTTTTACTGCTCCTAGAGAATTTCACAGGTGTGCACTTCAGAGTGGATATTTAGCAGTCAATTATTGATTCCTTAACACATTAGCCAGAGTTTTAATGACAGTAGTAGGTATGGAGGAGATCTATAATGCTAATGCTGTGTTCAGAGGTATGGAGCCACCTTGCAGAAGTGATGTGGCCTTATGTTCCAGCTTCTGAAAGTGAGCTGGAGGTTGACTGGACTGTTGACCAGACCAGTAAGAAGTCCACGTAGACAAAGGCATGATATAATTTGGCATTACCATGTTTAGCCCATAAAAGCTCTGAGGCTTCAGGCTGAGATAAGATCAGCTTCCCTTGGTGACTATGCACTGAAAAGGATAGAACAGCACATCCTTCTTTGGGACACAGAAGCTTTGCCCTGGAACTCATCCCAGACCTTACCCATACACATCTCTTCATTTGTATTCTTTATGGTTGTAATATAACCTGTAGCTGTTAAGTGTGGTGTACTCCGTATGCATGAGTCTATGAATAATTTCAGTGAATTAACAAACACAAGGAGCAGTGAGAGTCAGCAGAAGCTGGTGTCTGCCTATCTGGCAGCCTGAAAGAGTTTGTCCTTTTAATTTCTAAGCTCTGATCTAGTTCTGGGTACCTAGGATGAGAGAAGAGCTGAGCAGGCAGCTGGTCTAAAAGCTAGTGCCTGTTTAACTTCTGAACTCTGACCTCAGCTCCAGATGGCTAAGGTTGAAAAGAAAAGTGCTGCTTATTCAGCTGGTGTTAGGATGGGAAGTGAAGACTGGATCGATCCA